TTCTGTTGAAATTTCCATTCTTTAGGAAGCACATATAATTTTTCAAATTATTAATTACTTCCTTGAAGGAGATGTTAATAATTTTTTGCGTGCCCTTCAAAAGTACACTCTCCAATGCAGATCTTTGGGTGCTGTATTCAATTTTATAGAATATTACTCTTAAAATTCACAAAACTGCTGGTAAGGTAGACCAGGTTTTAAATTGCTCTCCAAGGATGCATTAACTGGATAGATTTCTTTCTTTTAAAAAGTTAATAAATAATATTGTTTTACATTGCTGTGACTTGTAAATGACTTCCTTACACATACTAATAGACATTTCACTTTCATAACAATTAAGTACTGTTAACCAAAACAGATCAACACACCAGCAACGCCTGCAAACGTATGTCTCATCCTGAACCTAGAGTCCTAGAGGCTGAGAAGATTGGGATTGTACTCCATCAGCTCTTTGAAGTGAAAATCAATCACTGCATTGATAAGAGTTTTGAGTCCTTCAGTTGTGTTTCCCTTTATGTTATTGTTCTTCTTTTCATTACTATTTCCTGATGGGTTAGGGAAATGATTGATTTGTTCAGTCATTTCAGTCACGTCCAACTCTTAGTGACTCCATTTGGAGTTTTCTTGGCAAAGATACTGGAATGGTTTGCCATTTCCTTCTCAAGTTCATTTTACAGATGAGGAAACTGAGACAAACAAGATTAAGTGACTCACCCAGGGTCAGATAGCTACTAAGTGTCTATGGCCAGATTTGAACTCAGGTCTTTCTGACTCCAGGCCCAGAGCTCTATCCACTGTGCTACCTAGCTGCTCCAAAATGATTGACAGGACTATGGAATTAGTTTTTCTTCAAGAGGATGAAAAACAGCAAATGCTTTGAATTTCTGAGTTTCTAAAACACATCTTCAGAAAATTCCTATTAAACTAGTATTTACTTGAACTATATGTAGACCCAGAACAATGATTTAACTGTCATTTCTATCACTGTCTGAGATGTTATTGAAATCTTACACAAGTTAGGGATGGTCAGTCAGTAAGTCAGTAAACATTTATAAAGGGCCGACCGTGTGCTAAGTGCTGGGGATATAACATATCAATAACTAGGTAGAAAGTGATTTTTCACTTAAATAGCGAATATACAAGGTCCTCACTTTTGCCAACTATCAGAATCTCCAGTACTGGCCCAAAGGAAAGCCTAGGACTTCAGAAGGTATTGCAGAAAATTTAAGGAAGTTTTAAACCTCATTGAGATAAAGAGGAAGGTAGGAAGTTTGCCATGCTTGTAGAGGTATAGAGGTAATATATTGGATGGAGTGCTGGACAAGGAGCCAGGAAGACCTGAGTTCAAATCCAGCCCCAGATACTTACTAGCTGTGGGACCCTGGGCAAGTCACTTAACCTCTGCCTATCTCAAATGCCTCTTCTGTAAAATGGGGTTAATAATAGCACCTACCTTCCAGGGCTGTTATGAGTATAAAATGAAATAGTGTTTATAAAACACTTAAAACAGTGCCTTAATAAATGTTTATTAAAAAAAAAAGACTGTACTCCCACTTGGAGAGATGCTTAATTCTTTATGAAGCTGGAGTTTGTTTTGAGCTTTCTCATGATTTCCAAACTTAATTTCAGATTCTAGTACTCTTGTGGATGTAGAAAAGTAGCTATAATTATGTAGCCAGCTTTTAAATTGAGCAATTTAAAATTCAGATGTATATTGAGTTTAATAAATTGAATGGGGAAAATTATTATTCATAGCATAGTTATCTGTGCTCTGCATGGTAAATTCTAGTGTCCTACCTTTGTAGCAATAAAAACAAAAGTGATGACTACTCTACACTTGGTTTCTGAATGCAACCAGTATAGAAAGCCCAAATTGGAAGATGAAAGAATAGTTTTTCCATGTAAGATAATTTAGAGATGCATTCAACTGGATTATTGCTGTTTGACTGGCAATAAGTTTCATTTCACGTTACATTGCATTAAGTCCATGATATTGTTTTGGGTTTGTGCATATTTATAGTTTCTTGCCTTGTGAATTTGGAAAAATTTTATAGATAATATTGCAAAGAAGCCGTGTTGATTTTTGGAAAGATATTTATAATGTAATGCATATGTATTATTAGGAGGCTAGTTCTTTTCATCCAAATGCTATGATTTTAGAAATTTAAGGTATTACTTGTTAGAGAAAAAGAAATTACTAGCTATATACAAGTATATATATATATATATATGTATATGATAGGTGGAAGTTCATTTTAAAGGAGAAGGCAGTAGTAAATGGAGGGGAAGATAGGAAAGGCCTTTCACAAAGGGCAGAATTTGAGTTGCATCATGAAGGACGCTAGGGAAACTAAAAGCTGGGGGGGGGGAAGAACTAACAGGGGCTAAGTAGAAAGAAAAAAAGGAAGAAAGATGTGGGATATGTTCTAGGCTTGGAGGACAGCCAGTACAAAGGCTGAGATTAGTGTTGGTACCAGTAGGCAAATCACAGCAAGTAGACTGTGCAGTGTGTGAAGAGGAATCCTTGTGATGTCTTTGGTGTAAGAATTAATTGTCACATTCTCTGCAATATTAGAGAATTGCCTAGAGTAGGTGAGAGGCTGAATGACTTACCTGGGGCCACACCACCTCAATGCATCTAAGGTGGGAACTGAACCCAGGTCTTCACTTTGAGGTCAGCTTGTTATATACTGTGACATGTTACCTCTCAAGATCAATAGATGTTTGAAAAATTAACTGATTCCATTTTCTTTTTTTTTAATATAAATTTATTTATTTTTAGTTTTCAACATTCACTTCCACAAATTTTTGAGTTCCAAATTTTCACCCCATCTCACCCCTCCCCCCACCCCAAGATGGCATGCATTCTGAATATCCCTTCCCCTGGTCTGTCCTCTCTTCTATCTTTCCCCCCTTCCCTTATCCCTTCCCCTTCTATTTTCCTGTAGGGCAGGATAGACTTCTGTACCCCATTTCCTGTATTTCTTATTTCCCAGTAGCATGTGAAAACATTTTTTTAAACATATCTTTTTAAAACTTTAGGTTTCAAATTTTCTCTCTTCCTCCCTCCCCACCCACCCTCATTGAAAAGGCAAGCAACTCAGTATAGGTTGTACAGGTGCAGTTATGCAAAATACGTCCATAGTAGACATGTTGTGAAAAACTAACTCTATTTCCCTTAATCCTATCCTGCCCTCCCATTTATTCTATTCTTTCTTTTGACCCTGTCCTTCCTCAGAAGTATTTACTTCTGATTACCCCCTTTCCCAATCTGCCCTCCTCTCTATCATCCCCCTGCTCTCTTGTCCCCTTCTCCCCCTATTTTCCTGTAGGGTAAGACAGATTTCCATACCCAATTGAATGTGTATGTTATTCCCTCCTTAAGCCAAATCCTATGAGAATAAGATTCACTCATTCCCTCTCACCTTCCCCTGTTTCCCCTCCCCTGTAAGAGACTTTTCTTTTCTGTTTTTTCTTTGTGAGATAATTTACCCCATTCTACCTCTCCCTTTCTTCTTCTCCGAGTATCATCCTCTCTCACCCTTAATTTTATTCTCCAGATATTACCCCTTAATCTTCAACTCACCCTGTGCCCTCTATTTATCTATCTGTCTATCTATCTACATACATATAATTTTTTTCCTTCAACTACCCGAATACTGACAGAGGTCTTATGAGTTATAAATATCATCTTTCCATTCCATTTTCTTTCAAGATGATAGATTGAACCATAATAGAATTTAACATCCTTCTTGGCATCCTTGATACCAAATTAGTCAACTCAATGTTATCATAATAAATCATATGAAATATTGAAGAATTGCCTTGATAGGGACCCCTCAGGTCTTTTGGTCCATAACGGCTTTCCTCAATTTTTAGCAGAGTGTGCATTTACCAATGCTTCACAGTTGCTATCAGATTGATGCTGTAGACATAGCCAAATCTGAATTTGTGTCCATGGAGTGATACAAGTCACAGATAGATTATGTCACAGGAATAAATGAAAATGAAATTTGTTTCCTTTTGTAGAGTGAAGAGAAGGGGAAAGGTAACTTAAGCCAAACATGGAAAAAGTAATATTTAAGACACAACTTCCTATCTTAAACATAATAATTGTGGACTCTTAATGGAAAAACATGCTCATCCCAGGGTTCTTAATCTCCTGGTTATGTGACTGCTATTCATATAGCATTTCACTTTTTAAGTCAGTTTTTCACTAGGAAAAAAGCAATTAATTTAACTCTGATTAAGTATTTCTATGTGGAAGGAACTATGCTAGTCATAGGGGATATGGAAATAAACAAAACTGGCAGGGATTGATCTCAAAGAGTTTATATTCTTGCATAGGACTTGTACGTAGATAAGATAGGGGCCACACCTGTGATTTCATTGGTATGGGGAAGGAAGGGAATAAGCATTTTACTATAGTGCCTACTGCATGCTAGGCACTGTGCTACAAGCTTCAGGAACTCTCATGTGAGGAAAATCCCTCTACCTAAGCAAATAAACAATTTCTCTTGCACTTAGAGTTTCTAGAATTCAAAGAGGTTAAATGATTTAATTACAGCCACACAAACAGTATGTGTCAAAGGTCAAAGTTGAACCTAGATCCTCCCAGGTCCTAGGCTACCTCTCTAGCCATTATACCATATCTTATCCATTAATAAATAAGTACCAAATAATACAAGCAATGAAAGAATACTAATATAACAACCATTTTCCAGGTATCTGATTCCATTACCCTGTGGTCCCCCAGTTATCCTTTGCGTACACTGTATTTTGCTTTTGGGGTGAGGGAGGGAAGTTTAAAATGTTTAATCCAGTCATCAGGGCAGAGTCCAAGAAATAATTGCCATCAGAGATGAAAATTTCCATAGGAATTCATTGCTTGAAAATTTTAGTTACAATGATTGAGGATAGTGAAAAATAACTGGTCACATTGTGAGGCAGCAATAGCTAGTAGAGTATACTTCTTTTTCCCTTAACTGTTTGATCCTCAGATATTGATCAGTGGAACAAAGTAATCGAGCAACTAGGAACACCATGCCCAGAATTCATGAAGAAATTGCAACCCACAGTAAGAAACTATGTGGAGAATCGGCCCAAGTATGCAGGGCTTACTTTCCCCAAGCTTTTTCCAGATTCCCTCTTCCCTGCTGACTCCGAGCACAATAAACTTAAAGGTACGTTAAGCAAAGGCTTTTTTGTGCCAAAGTGTGAAGGAATTAATGACCAGCTCTTGGTTGGAATGGTTTTTTCTTTATATTTTCCACATAAGGGATGGGGCTGTGAGCATCATCTTTGGAGCATGCATGAAGGAAGGGAAATGAATTCTAAGTGATATGAAATAAAATTACTTCTTTTACTTGATATTCAGAATGTATGACTTGTTCATGTTTAACTTTAGGAGGTAAAAATGAGCCTTCAACGAATCAATAAGTGTTCTTTTTATCTGCCACTCTGAGCTCACACTTTCCCTCCCTTTCTCTTTTATGATGACTAACATTTGTATAATCAGGTTGCAAAGCATTTTGCATAGATTGTATTATTTGAGCCTCAGAACAATGTGATATAGTACTATGATTATTGTTCCCATTCTATAAATGAGGAAACTGAGAGTTGAAGGAGTAAGTGACTAGCCCATAGTCCCACATCTTTAAGAGGTAGAATTTGAATCCAAGTAATCTTTATCAGCACTCTCCTCTTTTGTGTGTGTGTGTGTGTGTGTGTGTGTGTGTGTGTGTGTATAAAATACATTTACATGCTCACATTCACATGGAGAAAGCTTTCCAATAAAATTTTCCAGCTTGAGAAGCTTTCCAATATTTTATGAGTTTTTAAGGTACTTGAATATCTGTGAGTTTATCTCGCTTGTATAGTTTTAGACTATTAGAACTATCTGTGAATGAAAGTAGTGAATAAAATTTCAATTTCAGGAGCAAGCTAATGGCAACTAAAATTTTCACAATGAATTCTTACTGTATAAAATCACGCTGAAAAATCTATAAGAATCAAGTCTCCTCCTGAGAATCTTAACTACCGGAACAAAAGCCTCGATTTCAATTTTTAAGGGGATTCACCTGCTTCTATTAAAAGTCAGAGAAACACTATATTAAATGAAAGAAAGGATACCTAGTCCTTGCTTTTGTATTCCTTTTGCCCTAGATGTGATGATGACATGGAGGGGACGAGACAACGACAACGAACGTTTGTTTCTCCTGTAGCAAACTTCATTTAACAAAAAAGTTTAAAATTGGCCAGACTATTGAATCAGCAAATATGGGAAGTTCAATATTAGACATATTTTTTTAAAAAGCATATTCTAGTTCCTTTCATCTTTTTTCCAGGATAGTCTTCAGAATGACTCTAAATCAGATAGACATTGTAGTTTCTGCTTTTAATTTTCTATACATGAAAGAGTAGAAATATTCTAATGACAATGAATGTAGAAGGGAAAAGGCAAGAAAAAAAGACAGCATTATTTTAGTTTGTAGTTGAAAACGTTCCAGAACCTACCAAAAAAAAATACATATTACAGTCATGGATCACTTGAAAGTTAGGGTGCTATGAGAAAGATTCCAGAGTCAACAGGTATTTCCATTTATTTTTTATTTTTTTAATGATTGGGATACTTGAGACATATGTGACAGCTCTCCTTTTGTCCTCACTTTCCTTATCTGTAAAATGAGGGCTTTGGATTAAATTATCTCCAAAGCTTTTTCCAGTTCCAAATTAATTAAAAGCAAACTTGTATAAAGGACGTACTGTGTGCATAGCGTAGTGCTAGGCCCTAAGGGAGATTGACATTTTATTTAAGATTTGGTGCCAACAATCCTAGAGCTGACAGTCTGGAACGAAGAAATCACACGCCCATGTAAGTAATATACAATAATACACAAGATATATATACATACATCTATGAGAAATAGAACAGCAAAATACTGTATGCAGTCCAGGATATACAAGAAAGGGCAAAGTCATTACCAATAGGGAGAATCAACACCATTTTTTAAAAAGAGGTGGCATTTTGGTTGGACTTAAAAAAAGAAGCAAAGACATTCAGTTTCTCAGTCAAAATATGATTTTTTCCCTAATATGAATAGATTAGTAGAACAATAAAATCATCCTTATTTCTTTTTTGTAAGTAATCTCTAATAATGTTAATTCATCAATTCGAAAGCACCAACTTTTTTCTTAAGTATAGACTTATTATTAAATAAAATAAGCAGCACAGTATCTTTTTATTTGTTTTAATGGGAAGATTTTGGTCTCTTTCCTTACTGATTTGTCTTCTTTATGACATGTCACTATGCAAAAGCCAAAGGTGTTTCAGTGCTACCTCCAAGTGATGTCAAACTCAAATAGAAACAGATCTCTACATCTCTGTATTGCATTAGAAAACCACAGATTAACATTATCTATATTGTACTGTATTTTCATTTATTTGTTAAATATTTTCTGTATTTTAATCTGGTCTGGGCTGATCCTTGTGCAGTGAGTTGGACACCTCTGATCTAGACAGTCTGGTAGCTAGCACTGTGCTTTATGCCTAAATTTCTGTTCCTCGTTACGTTGTGTTGTTTTAGTGTAGTGTATTTCACAAAATAATATTCTAAGTTTAATGTTCTTAACTGCAGTTTTCCAAAGAAGGGGAGTGTATGAAAGATAAAGGTCTAGAGGGGCCAATACAGTGCAATGGGAAGAGAAGTTTTGGAGTTAGGGGACCTGGATTCAGACCCCTCTTCTTACCCTTGGGCTTCATTAACTTCTGGGACCTTGCAAAAGTCCCATTAACTCTCTGTCAATTTTTTCATCTTTAAAATGAGGAGTTTGGACTAGAGGATTTAAAAGGTCCCTTCTACATTTAAATCTGTAGTCTTATATTGCTCCCCAAAAAAGGGTGGGGAAGCATTGATTTTCAAACTGGAATCTCTGGCTTTGATTAGTTAGCTCATGTCCTAGGTCATACCATTTAAACCATCCACTTTTCTTTCCCAATAAATAAAATGGAAAAACCAAATGTCTTCTAATGGACAAAAAGATGTTTGTATTTTTTAAAAAGGATTCAAACCAATGATAATTTTCTCATCATGCTGTTAGAAAAATAAGTGCACTGCTTATGATCACAACTATATGATGTATCACTTATAATCACAAAATTAGTAAATTATGATATTGATTTTTTTTTCATAGAATCAAGTGATTTTAGAATAGTGCTGTCCATCGAATCAAGATATGTTAGGTAGCTGAGCTGGCCAGAATTGGCCCTTAGCAAAGCTATGTGAATGAAATACAATGCTTAATCCATATATATCTAACAATACGTACATATCAACAAATAAATACCTGAACTAGATGAATCTAAATGTTCTGGGACTTATGGCTTATAATGTCAAAGAAAGGGGAGTCTTCTGGTATGTTAGCCCTCCAGACTCCCAAATAAAACAAACTCTAGAGATATATGGAAATAGAAAATTCATTTTGTTTTCTAGAAGGTAAAAAAATTTTAATCAGTGTTTGAAATGAAGATTCATATTTGGTCCACACCAGTAAATATTTTTCTTCTCTCCACCTAGTCACTTAGAATTTTGCTCTTTTTTTGCTCATTTCAGCCAGCCAAGCCAGGGACCTTTTGTCAAAGATGTTAGTGATTGATCCAGCCAAAAGGATTTCAGTGGATGATGCCTTACAGCATCCGTATATCAATGTCTGGTACGATCCTGCAGAAGTGGAGGCGGTAAGGCAGAGTTTTCTCATTTCCTGTCAACACATGAAACATAGCCGTGTTTTACCAAGCTATGAAAATTAGAAAGCAACCACAGGCCAAATGAAACAAATTAGATGCCTTCCCCACCCCCATTTCTTTAATCCAGTTAATGTTTTGTTACTTTTTCTCTAACTCTAACAAAGTTGTTTTGTGTGCTCTGTGTTCCTCATGTCATGGTTTTTTGAGGTAGAAGGTTCCTTATTCCAAGAAACATAGTGTACGAAATCTCTACTCTCTTCCTGTATATATTTAAGCCAATTATATTATTCTTGCTGCTGCTTTTAGCAGGGGAGAAAACAACACATAGAATTGGTTGCTTTGTTACCATTTCATTTAAAAGTACATCTGACAACCACACCAGTAACTCATAACATTGGTGCATTATAATCCCCATTGCTTTCATCTTTAGCTAGTGAAGATTTGTGTTGCCAGGAAACCGTATTCAAATGATATCTTACTTTGTGGCAGGTATGAGGGAAGGGGAGGATTTTTTTCCATTTAAATCAGCTCGAATAGTAAGCTGAATATTATTGTTTTCAGTAATATATTTAATTATTTCTCTCAACACTAATTGATGATATTGAATGGTGTCAATTCATTAATAGCAGCTAACTTTGCCTAATGTCAATTGGTTATATAAATATATGACTTTGAATAAATCTATGTTACAAGGGGCATTAATTCCACAAGAATGATTTTATAAACAGGACAGCAAGGACTGATACTGGTAGTTGAATAAATGAGGTCTACTCACTATGGCAGTGGAATGAAGGTTTCCTGTGTTTAAAGACTTTGGAAATGAGGAGGAGATAATCCATTTTCCCCACTCATTTCATTTCCTTCATTTGGCAGCAAATGCTTCTCCTGATTGGTGATTCATTATGTAGCAGCTCTGCATTTAGAAGGAGGCAAGATACATGTGGCCTGGGCGTTCAAAAGAGCTTTATTAAAAGATATTTTTACAACTAGCTAGAGATGGGAATGAATTACTGGGGTCTTCCAAATCTGTGATCAGATTGTCATGGTACGGCCGCAGGCAGCTCAAGGTTGGCTTCCCATCTCTGACTGGTTAAAGACCCTTCCTCCTGCTTGGGAGTTCTAGGACAGTGATTGTTGGAGCAGGGTCATGCTGCTGCTTTTGTTTTGAATATATCCGTTGGGTTGTCTACATGAAGTAATTGGTTGAGCTCTATAGAGTGGACCGTTCCCTTATTTAACCAAGGTTGGCTAACAAAGAGGATATAAAGAGTCTCATCTATGATGCCAAGACATCTAGATCCATAAGGCCATTATGAAAGGAGGGGGGATACCATCTAGTCTGGGTTTTAGGGGTGAAAGCAAAAAGCAAAGGACACATTGGGATATATGCACATTGATTATCTGACAAGTGCCTTGTGTTCTTTTCTTAGCTGAGAGATCAAAGGCATTATAGATATGCCTTCCTTGATATTCTACATGTAAAATATTAAATTAGATTCTATGGGGGAAGGGGAAGACATTTTTATTTTTTTGGCAAGGCAAAGGAGTTAAGTGACTTGCCCAGGGCCACACAGCTAATGTCAAGTATCTGAGGCTGAATTTGAACTCAGGGCCTATGTGCTATCTACCGCACCACTTTTGCTGCCCCAACACAAAGAGGATAAGAAGACGATAAAAGCTTTTCTAATTAATATAGCTATGTAAAAACATGTGTATATATTTGTGTGTGTTTACGTATATATTCAACAACAAGAGGATGGCTGATCACAAACCCCCCTGGGATTTATAGTTCCTTTCAATTTAACAAGAGAGAAAACTGAAAACAGTCAATCATCAGATGAGGGGTGAGGTGGGGGGGCGGGGCAGATGGAAGCCTCAGAGTTTAGAGATTCTAAAGGAAAACAAGGAGAGAAGAGGAGAGATGGCCACCATCTCATGGCAGCAACATGACCAAGATGGTAGCCAGCATCTGTCACACTTTAGACCCGGAAAAATGAGTTCTAAATGAATAGACTGGAAGATGTGAGTGTGTTTTTTTTAAATTATGGGTGCTTGCTCCAGTAGCAGGTGTGCTGAAAGAAACAAGCCTGCCAGAGGCACAAATGGATGGGCTTTATCCCGCCCCAGTCTTACTTCCACTTGTATTGTTATAAATTTATTCTGGTAAAGAATATGTGTTTCCCAGATTTAGCAACATTTCTCATAAACACTTGCAGCAGAACCTGTTGGCAAGAACAGAACATCTCAGAATCAAAAATAAATTTGAAACAATCTGATCTCTGGTCCCATATAAAAATAGGACTTTAGAATAACTTTTAAGAAAAAAATGATAAATGGATTTGAAATGGTATAAGTTATTTAGGTTTAAGTAAAATTATCAATTTTAAGTTTTATGATTATCTTTATCACTTGTTTAGTTATGAAAGGTGTCTCCTTCCCTTTGCTAATTTATGATAAGACTTTTAATATTTCGCACATGTATCCATTTGAAAATTTTGTTAAATCATATGAGATAAGAATCTAAGTCCAATTTTCCCCAGATATTTTCCAGTTTTCCTAGCATTTTGTCAAATAGTGAGTCCTTACCCTAAGTATCCTTTGTTTTATCACACAGTATGCTGCCATGTTCAATTGCATCTGGGTCTTGTATGCCAAATCTATTCTGTTTTTAAACCAGTACCAAATACTTTAGATGATTACTGCTTTGAGGTGTAGTTTGGAATTTGATACTGCTGAGCCCCCTTCCTCCCAATTTTGTTTTTCATTAGTTCAGTTGATATTCTTGACCTCTTGTTCCTTCTGATTAATGTTTATTATTTTGTCTAGTTCTATAAAGCATCCTTTGGTAGTTTGATTGGTATAGCACTAAAATCTGTAATTTAATTTAAGGTTTTATGATATTTTTATTATAATAACATGGCTCAACCACAAGGAATTAATATAATTTTATATACCAACATTGTTTTAATTTATGTTTCTCTAATTAGTAATGATTTAGAGCATTTTTATATGACTACTGATAGCTTTGATTTCTTCCTCTGAAAACTTCCTCTTCATATGCCTAATTTATAAATTGGGGAATGGTCTTTTTCTTACTAATTTGCCTTAGTTCTGTGCATATTTGAGAAATAAGACCTTTATCAGAGAAATTTGACACTGAGATATTTTCCCAGTTTCTTGCTTCTCTTTTTATTTTAACTGCATTAGTTTTGTTCATGCAAAAACTTTTCAATTTTACTAATCAAAATTTCCATTTTACCTCCCATGAACCTCTCTTTCCCTTGCTTGGTCATGAATTCTTCACCTACATTCTATTAATGTAGCATGGAAGAAATTACCTATCATACAGATATACATTAATTTGCTTATATCACCCTTTATGGCTGAATCATGTATCCATTTTGAGTTTATCTTGGTAAATGGTAAGAGATGTTGGTCTATGCCTGGTTTGTGCCAGGCTACCTTCCAATTTTCCCAGCAGTTTTTGTCAAACAGTGAGTTCTATAAATTTCTTACAACCTAAGCATATTACTTTGAATCCAGTCCAAAGTGAGTGTCACGTCATGCCAGTCAAGACTAGATTTGAATGTCTTATGAATTTGCAAATATTTTTAGTGGTACGTATTTCTCATATTTGGGAAGGGTACTTCTCGAAAGCCTGGTCAGATATTATTTTGGTCCTCTCAAGTTGAGGAAAATCATTGAATACCTTAGATAGTAGTTGCACTTTTGAAAATAATGTCTCAGATTGTATATAGTTCTGAGTTTTTTTGGGGGGGGATCACAATATGTGATGTCATTGGGCTGGGTGTCTTTTTCATGAAGAAATATTCTATCAATATAGACTAGCAACTCCTCTGTAACTTATAGTTTTAGTTGTTTGGGGAAATGGGAAGTCAACTGACTTGCTCTCGGGAACGTATCCAGAAGTGGGACTACAACCCAGGTCTTCCTGAGAAGGTCAGCTCCTTATCCATTAAATCTTATTGTTTCCCATTTAACATTTAACAACACTAAGCACCTAACAATCATTGGCTAATAATTTCTTGTCGGCTTAAGAACAAAGGGACTCTTCCTCAGTTTATGTTTTGGGGAGAATTTCCAGACAGAAGGCTGAGTCCATCTCCTCTCCCCCAACATCTTCATCTTGTGTGTTAATTCCCAGCACAATTGCTTTTATTTTTCTTACTGACTTCTACCCTAATTACTCTAAGGCAGGATTAAGTATATCTTTGTTGTATCTTTAAGATCTTTTACACTTTGATTCTGTGCTCTCAGTGAAATTCGAGGTTCTGAATAGAAAAGTAAGCATCCGTATCCATATTATGTTCATTCTATTCTGTACCAAGGTGTGGAAATAAATGGAAAAACCCTACTTTGTGTGTTATTTTATGTCATGTGTACGTATTGTTGTTATTAGGAAAATACTTATATTCATTTCTCTATTTATAGCCTCCTCCACAGATATATGATAAACAGCTGGATGAAAGGGAACATACCATTGACGAATGGAAAGGTAAATATGTTGACAAAGCAAAAATCTTTTTGTTGTTGTTTCATTAAAAATCAGAATGTGACATCTCTAAAAACTCAGAGGACACATTGAAACGTTTCCTACTTGATGTAACAGTAATTAGCATTGAAATTGTCTAATACTATCCAATCTAATGGTCTCTAAATCTTCAGCAGTCCTTACATTCTAATATTAATGTTGCCCTTCTATAGGGAAGAATACGATACAACAAGAGGAAGCAAATATTGATTAATTACCTACCATATGCAAGGCACTGTGACAAAATAAATAACAGCCCCTTCCCTCAAGGAGCTCACAAAATAGAGAGATAAAGCTGTTTTAGAAGTGGTCAGAGCTTGACCTGAGCCTTGAAGAAATCTCAGGTTTCTTTGAAGTAGGGGTGCCAAGGGAATGCAAGGCAAGTGCAATCAGTCAGTTGTTAGTCAACAAACATTTGCTGCTTCATTCCAGGCACTGTGCTAAGTGCTGGGGATGCAAAACAAGGGAAAAGTTGCTGCCCTCAAGGAGCTTACATTGCACTGGAGGATATAACATGCAAACAAGTAGGTACACATGAAGTGTATGCAGTGGAGGTCTGGGGACAGGAAAGGTCTCCTAAGAATGTTGAACTGAGTCTTGAAGGAAGCCAAGAACTGGAGACAAGGAAGGAGAATACTCCAGGCAAGGGTACAGCCAGTAAAAAAGCATGGAAGTGGGCTACGGAATGCCATCTTGTGTTCTTTTTTTTTCTTCCATATTGTGGTTTCTAATGGATTTGGAGAACTTTTTCAGTCTCTAGGACCCATCAAAACTCCCTTTAAGAACTTGAATTGATTGTTAAATTGTAGAAAATTTCAACACAATTAAAGCCCAGTTATCATCACAACTAATATTGTGCTCTCTACACAATAAATAAATGGAAAATAAATAAACAAAAATCTGATGTGGTCAGCACAGCTTTCAACATCTCCTATTTTTGATGCTAAATTCCCTCACTGCTGATATTTTTTTCCCTACTCTCACCTTCCTTTTTCTCTACCCCGCTCTTCTTTTGCTGTCCTGTGTAGATATTTGGTAAGAGAAAGTGCCACCACCCACTCTGTCTCCACCACATGAGTTTCAAGTTTTATTATTGCTATAAATAAAATGCTTTATGCTGGCTTTTTTTTTTTCCAAAAAAAAAAAGTTAGGGAAGGGCCAGATTGTAAAAAGTGTTAAATGCCAGATGGAGGAGTTTATATGCACATGTGATCATAAGTGATATGTGGTGGAGAAATTCATTTTGAAGAGAAATCTAAGATTAAAACTGCTTTTATCAAAAAAAAAAAGATGCATCTAGGGTCTGAATAGAATGTGGTCTATGGAAAGAGCCCACATAAATCAAAAATTAGTAAATTTTAAGTAAAAATTTAGCTCAACTTATTGATTACATAATTCAAACATTGTTAATTTGGTAGGATTGGTTAATAGATTGAGGAGTACATAGTCATGAATGAGTTAAGTACCTTGTGAGTTCTTATAAGTTGATAGAATTCAAATATCTCCCATTTTCTTTTAAATACTACTGCCTAGGAGATTATTTAAGAGTATGAAGAAATGCAGATGCGTAGATATAATGGATCAGTTAAATGTAGCTGAAAAAGCTGAAGAGTTTACATGTGATTTGATGAGATATGTATAGGTTCCTTCATAGATGTATTTGCTGCAAAGTAAAACTCTATAGAAAGCAAATCTGTGCAGGATTGGTTTGCCTGAGAACTCCATCTCATTGTCCAGTTTTCCTCTGAGTTTATATGCCTCCTTTTAAGTCATATTGTCAAGTCCAAAGGAGATCACTTTATTTTTGTCTTCTCAAGAAAGTAGGGTCTAGGGGCAACTAGGTGGCACAGTGGATAGAGCACCAACCCTGAAGTCAGGAAGACCTGAGTTCAAATCCGACCTCAGACCAAACACTTGACACTTACTAGCTGTGTTACCCTGGGCAAGTCACTTAACCCCAATTACTTTAAAAAAAAAAAAGTAATGTCTAGTGGGCAGCCAGAGAGGAAAGAAGAGAACTGCTTATCTGTGTTTGTTCTTCAGGGGCAAAAGAGAGTTTGGAGAAGTCTCTCTAGCTGATTAGATTGCTGAAAAGGGAAAAGTTACTGATGAAACCTGGCTCCACACTGGTCCATCCAGACTTGTAGCTGAACATTGAACTCTGAGAGACCCCCTACCCTGTCTCTCCTACTAATGAAGAACACCTGGAAAGAAATAGAATGTTCTTTTACTATTTGAAAGATTATCTTAGCAGATGAATTTAGGATGGATAGGAAGAAACTAGAAATGAGATGGTCTGTAAACAGAGATGATTATGGAAATGTAGAATTGGCAAGAATAGGTGAATGATTAGATAGAGCAAATAGAGAGAGAAGTAATTACTGCAGTGATGGGCAAATTTGGTATCCATTTGGGAATTTTTTGTTTCAAGTGTTGTCAAGACATAAATGGAGGTATTCTGCAGACAACTAGAAATGTGTTGACTGACTGAGATAAAGAGAAAGTGAGGTCAGAGATGGAGTTTGGGAGGACACAAGGATATTGAAATTATGATACTTTTCTCTTTATAGAAGAAGATAGCTTTCCTCCCTCTGCCAATATCTACTATCTGCAGTTGCTGAGCACAGAATTTCAGAATTCAAAAAAACTCAGACGTCATCTGGTCCATCCTCTACAGCCTCTAGGGATCAGATAATACGCTTCTGTCTTCATGGCATAAATCCTGTACCCCAAATATGTGTACTCTCTTCTTCCTTTTGAAGGCTCATAACATTTAAACATTCTTCTTTGCATTATTTTGCTAGCTACGTCGCTGTGGAGTATTTATGTGAAAATATGGCGGAGTTATGTAAATTAAGATTTACTCAGGATGAGAGAATATGAAAGTGTTTCAATTTATATTGGCAGTGGAAGTATTAATACTGAAGAAACCACAAAGTATTATTAGTGTATTTGTCTTATTTTTCTTCCCTGTAAGCTCCTTGAGGTGAGGGATCATAGCTTATTCTTAATATTAATCACAAATCACCAGGTTAAATGCTTTGCACATAACAGACTCTCAGTAAATAATAATTCAGTGAATAAGCTGAGTGAGTGAGTTAGTGTTGAAAAGCAAAAGGTCAAGGATTGAACTCTTAAAGAGATATTTATAGTAAGGAAATGTACCAGAATAAATAAGCTCAGCAGGCCTGATAAAGTATAGGAAGAAATGATGAAATAAGACAAAAAGAAATGCTGTTCAATTTTAATTTTACCCCATCACATCAAAAATGTCATTTGTCATTGAATAATGAATTTCTCTGAAGCCTGAACCATGGAGCAATCACCCTGACAATTATTTCTTGCAGAGCTGATCTATAAGGAAGTAATGAATTCTGAAGAAAAGACTAAAAATGGAGTAGTAAAAGGACAACCTTCTCCTTCAGGTACTCAGGCCCAGTGTATAATTAATTGTTTTGTATGTTGTCTGCCATTGGCAAGTACTTGTGAAAAACAAGGTTCATAGCACTATAACTAACTAGACTCATGATGATGGTGCCCTCATAATTAATTGGGATGTTTCTTTTTTTCATTTGGGTTCTAATGTTTAAAAAGCAACAATTTGAATAGGCATTTAAAAACCTTTCAAGGTCACATACTACCTCTCTAAAATGATATTATATATTATGTGTGTTATATAGAATGTATATTTTATAAATTATTAAAATGGAATTGTGCTATGATTATTTATGTAACGACTTCTCTGAGCTACCTCCCCCATTCAGCACTCACGGATTATAGGTTTAAGTCCCCAGAGGGGTGACTACTAGTTTAGGTAGGTAGGTGGGTCCGTACTCCTAAAATTATTGCTCGTAAGCCCCTCCTAGTGAGCTTACATTTTTCCAATAGACACATTTTTTTTTCCAAAGCAAAAGTATTTGCTCAAAAGGCATAGTAAGATTAATATCCACAAAAAACTTCACACTCTCCTTTCCCCAACAACCTGGGAAGCCCTTTTCCCAAAATACAGCATCTATGGGATAAGTGATCATAAGCTCAGAGTATAGTGGTGGTGGGACACACATGTAGGGGACACACATGATGGAGATAACATGCCCTAATATGTATAGGGCCCCAATATCTTTTGTTATTGAGTCCTCATGCAGTTCCCCACCAGGCACAGTATCTCGGCTCCACAGTTGGGATTGGTGGTCTGTGCCTTTCCACATCTGTAATTTGACTATTACTTATCAGGGTTAGTTCTGTCTTTAATACATTATCAGCTGTGTTCTTGCTACCAGAAGTCAGACTCCTGGAAGCTGCTTCATACCTGGAATTCTGTTCCTCAATGTGTCTATATCTCCATAGAGTTTATGTCTTCTCCTTTCTGGATGAATCTCAACTGTGTTTCAAACTCTCTCAAACTTTTGAACAGTCTCTAGGGTTTGATAGGCTTAGCTTCTACAAAGGCCTTCAAGGTCATAGCCAATCTTTAGCCAGATGTGCTTTCAATTCAGTCTCAGAACTCCTTCATATTTCATAAATTTATGGCAGGGTATAGATAGACTTTTGCACCTTATTAGCATATCAGTGCATCATTAGTTCTGTTATCTGTCACTTTATATGATTATATCAACTATGGGAAGGAGGGACCAACCCCTCCTCTCTACTACATTTATGTCAAATGCTATATTATATGGTGGATGGATGGCCAAATGTTTGCTCAAGTCACCACTTTTTTAAACTGAGTGTTTTTATACCAGCCATGAAGTGTTGAGTCATAAGGAGGGAGATGTATGCTATCCAGATGTATTCATCACCATGTGAGAGGAGAAGAAAGCCATGATGAAGAGGGATTTGTTATGTGGGGGAGGGGCTCTAGATGCTCTCCTTTGCAGATATCACTGCAGAGCCTCCTGGGAGACATTTCTAAGCACTTGGGAAAATCTGGCTTGACCATCCACATGGGAAGGATGAAGAATATCCATTTCCTAGATTACAACAGATTGTCAGGGAACAATGAGAGTCAAAGACAAAACTTCAGAATCCTTGGATGTTAGATTTAGGAGGGACAATAGAGATGTCATAATAATAGACCCATAGGTCGTAGATCTAGAGCTGGCAGGGACCCCAGAGGACATCTAGTCAACATATATTTTGAGTTGACGAAATAGACTTGGGTAGGAGGCTCTTCACTGAATTGCTCAGTGATACAGATACTGTCAGAGGCAAAATTCAAACCAAGATTGTCTGACTCCGGAGTCAAAAGATCATCGTTCCAGAGCTAGAAGGGTTCCTCAGAACCATCTGGTATCATCCATCTCATTAAGCAGATGAAAAAACGAAATTCATCCCAGGATGGTTTAGTGACTTATCCAATGAAGTAAGCCTGAATTCTGTGACTCTGGATCATTGGTTCTGGATTTAACCTGAAGCTCCTGTTCGTCACATCATTCTCAACAACCTGGTTCATTGCCATTATTTTACAAATGAGGAAAGTGAGAACCAGAGAAGAGAAATTACTCTTATGGTCACATAATAAATGAAAGTGTTAACATTTGAATTTGGGTTTTCTGACCCCAAAATTCATTTTCTTTCTACTCCCTCATGCTTCTCTGACCACAGAGATATAAATTAATTCCATTAAGCATTGCTTCCAGAGGACATAGTGATTATATCTGGATTTTGGCTTTGGTTTTTAAATGTCACTGGAAAAAAATTAATGTACCTCTTCAGAGTAGTAGATGATTCTGAGATTTATGGATAAAATAACTGTGTATTCTGAAAAAAGGTCAATCTAAATAAATTGTGCTTGTCTCACTATCAGACTTTACTTGTATAATGATTTACTTCTAAATGACAGCATAGCTACTTGTTTTCTGAATTGATTTATAATAATGACCCCTTGTAATTCAAATTATAGAAAGAGAATTTGTTTTTAATAGTGTTTCTACCTAAAATGAAAAAAAAATTCCTCACTTAATATAGGACATTTGCTCCGTTTTTGCTCACATCCTTTTTACCGCACTGTCTTAATCAAGTTCATTCAAATGGAATAACATTTTAAAATAATTTAAATAGTTTATTTCTTCCCAAAACAATGGATTTTTCAACATAGTTATGAATTTTCATTTAGCTCAGAAACTTCTATAAGTAGTATACTACTTTGTATCAAACATATTCCTTTTTCTATAAGATTGAACAAGATCAGAATCTGTAGCTAGATAACCTGACCAAATTTGTAATTAATTTTAGTAAGTAAAATGAAAATTCTTATGTTGCTTACTTGATGCTACAAAGTAGAGGAAAGAGGCTTCAGCCACTGAAACTGTGTTCCTAAATAACTATTTATTCAATGAGTTCACCTTGCAAGTACTGAGTATTTGGCCCCACATAATCATGAATCTGTTGTAACCTATGGTCCAAGCTCCATTCTCCCTTCCCTTTGCCCCCAAGACTCTAGGCTTGTAGAGACCAGGTTTGTTCATAGCAGTCTAACCCCAAATGGCTAGTTTTTCTCATTGTCCCTACCTGAAGTCCTTCAGGAAAATATTTAAATATGCTTGTGGCATAGGTCCTGTCTTTCTTCAGTCATTTTTCAGTCATGTCCAATTCTTTGTGACCCCATTTGGGGTTTTCTTGGCAAAGACGCTGGAGTGGTTTGCCATTTCCTTCTCCAGCTCATTTTACAGATGAGGAAATTGAGGCAAACAGGGTAAAGTGACTTGCCCAGGGTCACACAACTATTAAATGTGTGAGGTTAGATTTGAATTTAAGTCTCCCTGACTCTAGGCTCAGTTCTTTATCTACTGTACCACTTAGCTTCCCAGGTCCTATCTGGGTTTTCCTAAATGTGGGTACTTCCCTTCAAGTACTCCATGTACAATATGAGTATCAGTCACTTTTCGCCCACCACAGAAAATGCATAAGATCCAAAGAACTTCCTGGACCCTATGAACAAATGCAGGAATATAAATTCCTCAAATGCTCATTAGACTTTTCCCAGAAGGTGAAGACACATTGGAAGACTGAGAAAATACTCTTAGTCACCTTGTACCCACACTACGTAACTCATGTCAGTATCAGGAGTTGGCAAGGTCCAGATGTCCTGTCTCCCGTGATGTAACTGACTTCAGTCCTCTAGCTGTAGAAGTCATGCTGGTGGCTCTTTTCCTTTTCTAAGGAGTACTCTGTTGAGGAAATCTCCCTCTATGAAATCTCCTGCCTAATCAATGAATTCAGAATGTTTGACTATCAGAAAAGCTTTACTTTATCCCTCTCTGAAACTTCACTCGAAAGTTGGGTGCCCAGAGCGGGTTACTGCTCTTCCTCTGGTTTTGAGGGGAACCAAGAGAGACTGAGGGTATTTTTCTAATGCTGTTGGCTCAATCTCCCATTCCAGTGTGTTTTACCTAATATCATTTGCTTGTTATTTCTTCAATATCATCTAACTAGTACCTGTTAATATTACCTCTACATCCCAAGACTGACCTAGTGATTAATGTCTCACTATCATTTAACCAATTAACACAAAGATACAGCAGGAACAGAAATTTTAAAGCATTTCTCCCTACACTACAGGGCACACTCCCTTCTCTATCACCTTAGTCATTGGGGTGCAAGAGTATGGCTGTGGAATGACCTTTGGGGTCCAGCCCAGCAGTGGATTGTTCTGGTAGCTGAGACACCATGTCTTGCCAGCTAGGAAGCGAATCTCTATGTCAGCTATGCTATATTTGTGGGAGTAAATTTGATGGGGCAAGTGCTTTGTAGTAACTGCTTTATGCATAGAGCAAGTATATGCATGGTCATAGTGCACAGCAATAAATAATAAACAACAAAGCAAAGAATAGCTAGTTAGTTATAATAATAATAATACTATCAGTAATTATACATACATATGATTGTATGTATATATTTGAATGTTCACATATATATAGTGTCCTGCCTTAGACACTTAGCTCTCTGATCCTGGGAAATGACAACTTCTCAGGTTCAGTTTCTTGATCTGTAAAATGGGGATATTAATAGCACCTACCTCACAAGGGTGTTGTGAAGACCAGGTATGTGTATCTTAAAGTACTAAATAGATGCTAGTCATTATTATAATTGACCTATTAGCATTAGTGTTTACCCCCAAAATGAACAAAATGATTAATAGACATTGCGATGGCATGCACATAGCACAAAATATAAAATATAGTCAGTTGAACTCAACTGCAAAATAAAAACAAGCATGCTCATACAGTTAACACTATGATAAACATGCAGTTGTACTCAAAGCACACTTCACATGGTCAGTTTCTAGTATTGTTGTCTGGATACGTGTATATTTGTCAGGTTTACTAGTAGTATCATAAATTCATCTAGAGATTGGTCTAGTGTGTTTAGTTTCCTTATCACTGGCTGATGTCTTCATTCCTACACCTGAGCTAATATATGTCAT